TTGATGAGTTCCTCCACCTCTTTCTGTTTCAGCACTTTTATTTTTGTCTTCCCATCTTCCCGTGTCAGGGTGGCAATCTCCACTGAAACAGTCGGTGCGAAACAGGGTTTTATTATTGTATACTGTTGGCAACAAGGCAGGACCCAATTTTGGTCCACTGATAGTAAATGGAAATAACAGTAAGAAAGTCCTTTTGCGCCTTACCTTTCTCTGCCGACAGCTTGCTGACATCCATTGTTTTGTTGAGGACTTTGACAGCCAAAGCCAGAGCAGAGGACAGAGTCATCTCTCCCTCTTTGTAGTCCTGCTTCAGCATGGATACGGCAGCCTGAAGCAAAAGAAGTGAACGTGTCAAACGCCACAAAAACAGTGTATTAAAAAAAAATATGTGTATACATGTGTCACTTAGGCCTCTAGAATTTCACTAGAAAAAACACAAACATTTAGAATATCCATTACTATATGGGTTTAACCAAACCCAAGACAAAAAAAGAAATAAATAAAATAAAAATCAAAGAAACTGAGGTAAATAAAGGATTATCACGAGCTTCTGAGATTTAAGACTACAATCTGGTTTGCTTCCAACTACTGGTGTATGTAATGAGATCATTTCACAGATTTTCATTATCAGAGTATTTTCGGGCTTACAGCGCTGTTGTTTCCAATGCAGGTTGCCTTCCAGCCTCCATAGTTGCCACTGGGGTCGCTTTGGTACAACTGGAAGCCGTAATGCTTGTCCCAGCCCATGTAGAGGAGAGAAACACCAAATGGCCTCTTACCTGTCAAGACAAACCACACAGCTATTAGAAAATGCTAAAATACATCTTTTGTGTTTTAAGCAGAGAGGAGAGCTTCTTCACAGATATCAGGTTTGACACACACACAAAAAAGGTATAAAAGTCAGTGTTATGAAGAGACATTTAAAACTACAGATGTTCCTGGCAACAAATTTACTAGTCACTTAAATGACAGGAAAAAAAACCTCACTAGTTGACTAGTCTCGAATACAAAACACACTGAGAAAACACTAAAAACTGCATGCACGTTATTTGGATGTAGATAAATATTTGGTGAATTTTATTGGCTAGAAGAAACTGTTAATCGCGTTTCTTGTTAATCAAATCGTGTTTTAAATGTTGCTGTTATGTGTGTCACTTTGTATCATGGATGTATAACACTGCAAAAACACAAAGTGTCAGATTAGTTTGAAGAATATTGCTAAGCTTAGCAGTGCTAGCAGCAACGGCAACATGCTAGCCTCCACACCTTGCTGTGGATTGTGGTTGCACCTGGCTTTGGTTGCTGTTTCCATACACAGCTGACATACACCTGCTAATTCTTTCTAAAATCAAAGTACTGCAGCATTACACGGGTTAGCATGGCTGTCCTCTTTTTACTCCCACCTCTTTCCCATTCAAAACTTCCCTTCATAGACAGACAGAGAGCGAGGGTGGTGCAGCTGTCTTTCAGGGGCTATAGCCATGGTTAGCAGCTGCTGGCACAGTAATGACTTTGAACCGGCAGCTACAGTTGTACAATAATAAAATAAGAATATTATGTTTAACCGGCAACATGGTGGCATGGTGGTTAGCACTGGTGCCGCACAGCAAGAAGGTCCTGAGTTCAACTCCACCATTAAACTGGGGTTTTTCTGTATGGAGTTTGCATGTTCTCCCCATGTTTGCGTGGGTTCCCTCCAGGTACTCCGGCTTCCTCCCACAATCCAAAGACATGCACTTATTGGGGATAGGTTAATTGATTAATCTAAATTGCCCATAGTTGGGAGTGCGAATGATTTTCTGTTTCTGTGTGTTAGCCCGCCTCTCGTCCTATGACAGCTGGGATAGGCTCCAGCGCCCCCCGCAACCCTGAAAAGGATAAGCGGATGAATGGATGTTTAACTAACTAGTGTTTCTGGTGTTAAAGAGCAAGGGCAGCAGTGTTTAAATGTCTAGTTGACCAGTCAAGCACATCCCCATTTAAAACACTTTAAATGTAAGGACTGACAATAAGTTGAGGAGATTTGCCATGGTGAGCAATGTAAAAGGCTGTGAGCATTAAAACAGACAGTGCATCTTACCTCCAAACTGTGTGTAAGCTTGCTTAATGTCACACAGAGCTGTGACCAGCTGCTCACAGGGTATTGGCTCCTGGTACTGCAATAAATACCTAAGAAGAATTCAAACTGGTTAGTGGTTGGTGTAAATGAGAGAAATGGTTAGAAACTACAGACACATGTTTAAGGCTGTAATCTCAAACTTCAGATCACCAACTATTTAACACATTTTGTGATAAAATAACTCAAGTAATAAGATTCATTTTGAAAGTGCACCAGTCTACACATATTTAGGCTTTTCTTTATTTATGGGTATGAAAACAACTGCTGGTGGTGGTTATATCAGCCTGCATTCACCATCATCTCTTTGTTTCTTATTACAACCATAAATGTGTCTACTTCTGAAACTCACCTCTGTGCAATTAGCCGCAGCTCATTTGTCAGTACATTAGCATCTGATGTGATCCCAGCAACGCTGCAGGCCATGTCTCTGAAAATGTGACCACAAACGCAATGTTAACCAAAAAACAAAATGAATGACTACATTTTGAAGGTAAGAATCTAGTGAAGCTCACTTACTCATTGAGTTTGTAGATCTTCTCAGAGAAGAAAACCTCATCGAGCAGTTTGTGGATGTTGCGTCTCTCTGCTGCCAACAGCACCCCGTCATTTGCTAGGATACCCAGACACGTTCCAGCGTGACCGATTGCTTCCATTGCGTACTCCACCTGATACAGGCGTCCTGTAAATTACAGTCGGGTTTTTAGATGAACAATACTGAAAAAACAAACCCCTTTAAGACCAGTTTTTGGAAAACAGTGGCTATATGAAATACTAAAGAAAAATACTTTTACAACAGTTTCACTATGTATAAGAGCTCACAAGTAGCCCCTGAAGTAAAATACTAAACTCAAATTATTCATGCGTTGACCCAGAGTGTTTATTTCTAGGGCGTTGTACTAGGCTCATTAAACCACATGTTCCTGCTTTAAGTACTAGTCATGAGTTGGTGTATTTTGATAGCTTGTATTTGAAGTTCATAGAGGGATAAAAATAACAAAAACTCATGAGATTGTAATACAATGTAATTATAGAATGATAGTATTAGACCTCTTGTGTTGGATTATTTTGACCAGTACTTGGTTACAAAGTCTTAGATAAGAAATAAAACATACCCTCTGGAGAAAATATGGTTGTCCGGGAATCATATCTGCGAGACTAAACAATAACAACAACACAAAATTAATGCCTATACTAGTTGAGAAAAACAAATAACATTTTGAGATTTTTAAAAAGTGAAACAGCTACGTACCATTTTCTCAAGTCGCTGGCAATATCCTGAAAAAGTAAAAAGAGCAGCAGTTACAGACAGGCGTAAGCTGCAGAAAACAAGACCCACACAACGATGCCTTTTTAAAATTGACACAAGACGTATCTAAATTAGAGATAAAGAAAGTGGACATATATTTTGCTAAAGTCAGAAAACAAAATAGGTGCTAAAAGTTTCTGAGGCTGGTTTACAAAAACAACGCGTGCTTTAATAAGCCCATGGCAGCTAGTCGGCTAACTGGTGCAGCAGAATGAATCTGCAATATCTCAGCATGCTAGCTAGCAGGCTAACGAGCTAGTTCATAACAAACGAAGTCGCCAAGCTGCTCCACGACAAAAGGAAGTAAAGAAGTAAAATTATGCTAGAATAACAAGTACTGTAGTGACTATATAGTAATTGTGTATTATTTACCTCGGGTGAACGAGTCTAACTTGGCGTACTTCTGCCCAGGATGAGAGGTCCTCTACTTTCAGTTTGGCGTTTCCTCACAAACACCGGCGTACCGCGTCAGTGAAGTAGCCGCTCAGCAGCGCCACCTCTCAGTGGGAGGACCGATCAGTCCGTAACACAGTGCACAGCTCACTGACTGCTGGTTAGTGATGTACTTGAACACCTCCTAATGGCACTTTTAAAAATGACAACTTTACTGAAGCAAAAGTACATCCTCCTCCTTCTTTCATCTGCTCCCTCTAGGGGTAGACACTGCGGATAAACTGCCTCCTCTGTCACACCAACCCTTTGCATGTAGGTTGCATGTCCTCCTGTGAGGAATTTCTCTGTTTTTCCTGCCTGGCAGCTCTATTTTTAACATTCCTAGTCCAATACACCCACTGTCACTCCTCTGCACATATCCAGGCCATCTCAGCCTTGCCTCTCTAACTTTGTCCCCAAACTGCTCAACCTGAGCTGACCGTCTGGTGTACTCATTTCTAATCCTGTCCATTCTGGTCACTCCCAGTGAAAAACTTAAACTCTGCCACCTCCATCTCTTTTTGTCAGCAACACTGTTTCACAGGTCTCAGTACAATCTTGTAAACATTCCCTTTCACTTTTGCTGCCATGTTTTTCTCACAAATAATCAGTCTTGTGCAGAAACAAAAATACTAAATGACTTCTGAGTCATGGCACATGACACAGTTTAGAGTCATAAGGTCATTAGGTATGTTTTTACATGTTGTGGGTCATTGTTGTCATTGAGTTGAACTATTCTTCTGTTTTCAGTTATACTCAGTAAGCTGTTAGTCTTTCTTTCTTTCTTTCTTTCTTTCTTTCTTTCTTTCTTTCTTTAGATTGTAAATATTTACTTTTATTAATTTAGTAAAATCAATGGAACACCAAGATTATAATATTCTTGGGAACATATTTTATACCATGAATGGTCAATAAATTAAACCAAGTCGCGTTCACTATAATAAACGCTACTTAAACTAATATCAAAAACTGGGCCCTGATAAAGTATATATTCAAAACAGAACTCGGGTAAGTTACCTTTTCTTGCCTCTTGAACTTGCTGAAATACATTTACTACTCCAACCCTGGTGGTGCGCGACAGTAACGAGACAGCTGAAATATCCGGAAGCGTAAAGTAAAAGAAAGCGAAGAAGACACTTTGCATGTGATTGGCTGTTTGAACAGCATGGCGTTTGAATGGGAGCAGGAAGATCTCTGAGAGTTAGCCGACTAGCTTGGAAGTTAGCCAACTCTGTGTTTTCTTGTCTTTCACCCACGCTAGCTTTAGTCTTACATTCCCAGTCGTTTGTTGACGCGATGTTTCATGCTCGACTTAAACTAAGCAGATGACTCTGAAATAAACATATGTCCGAATAGGTAAGTGGTCACTAAGCTAGTTAACGTTAAACCAATGCTAACATCGTTTACCCTGCGGCTAGCGCGGCTTAAGCTAAAATATGTTAGCTAACAACGGTAAACCAGCAGGTGGCAACTGGCACGTTTTGTGAAGCTCTTGGCTTGATCATTGTGTTAGTTGCTATATTAGGTTACGTGTTGTTTTCATCTGAAACACTGGCGCTTCAGTTGACTCCACGTTTACTCGGGAACGCGGTGTCCTCTGATACCGGGGTCAGCTACATTCTGCTATAATGTGTACATATATAATCAGACATTTGTAAGAGCATGGCAGTACAGTTTTTTTATTTAAGACACTTATTTCTTTAGAAACAGCCTTTTAGCTTTAATTTGCTAGTGTCAGCATGACCCTTGAACTCATTCGTAGATAACTGGATGTACGTTAAACATTACTGCTCAAGGAGAAGTAACAACCAGTTTTGTATTAAAGGTATTTCGTAATATATTTAGGTAATATTAAAAATGGCAAAATGGTACAAGATCACCTAAATTGGAGAGGTTATTATTGCATCCAGGAGGATTTTCATCAAGTTTCTGCACTTGCCCTTCAACTCCAGAATACAGTGTCTAAAAGAGTTTCAGAACACAAAATGTTTGCCAGTTTTTCATTTTGAATATAAAAAACCCCACACACAGTTTCTTTTAGCTGCCACTTTAAAGACAGTTCTGTTTTCTATCTTTTTTTTCCTCTGTGTGTTAGACAAGAATCCGTCTGATGAGGGGGCACCTACAGCTGTCAGGATGCAGCAGAAAAGGAACATCCAGATCATCGAATGGGAGGACCTCGACAAAAAGAAGTTCTACTCCTTCGGGTTGTTCATGACTATGACAATCCGGGCCACAGTCTACCCGGCCACTCTGATCCGGACTCGACTGCAAGTGCAGAAGGGCAAGTCACTCTATGGCGGCACCTTCGATGCCTTCTTCAAGATCCTGCGGGTGGAGGGCGTACGGGGCCTGTATCGTGGCTTCATGGTCAACACCTTCACCCTCATCTCAGGCCAAGCGTACATAACCACCTATGAGCTGGTGAGGAAGTACGTTTCGCAGTATTCAGAGGACAACACCGTCAAGTCACTGGTGGCGGGGGGCTCGGCCTCCCTGGTCGCTCAGAGCATCACTGTTCCCATTGACGTCATATCTCAGCAGCTGATGATGCAGGGCCAAGGGCAGCACCTCACACGCTTTCGGCTTGACTCAAACACTGAGACTGGAAAGCCAAAGAAAGTGTTTGGCCAAACCAGGAACATTATTGCTCAGATTTTTGCTGCTGATGGGTTCAGGGGTTTCTACAGGGGATATGTGGCTTCTTTACTCACCTATATACCGAACAGTGCTGTGTGGTGGCCTTTCTATCACTTTTATGCTGGTAAGCGGAAGCTATACTGCAGTTTCTTGACTTTGAGGCTGTAAGTCTCTTATCTTTTGTGTTTTCATTGTTTTAGTAAATTTGTAGTGTGAATGAATGCTTCATGGCCTCAACATGTGATTAATAACATATCTGCATGTGTAATGTTCTGCAGAGCAACTCTCTAAACTGGCTCCCAGCGACTGTCCTCATCTGATCTTACAAGCCATGGCTGGACCACTAGCTGCTGCTACTGCCTCTACTGTCACCAATCCAATGGATGTGGTTCGAGCCCGAGTCCAGGTAAGCTATTATATTTCTCACCAAATACAAATGTTGGAAGTATAGACTGTATATAAAGGAAAACTGCTTCCTGTCGAATGGCCAACAGGTGGTGGCACCTTTGGTTGCAAAAAGAAGTCTGTGTGAAAATGACCCTTCCTATTCTTTATCACCAGCAGGATTGCCTGTGCTTCCAGCTTTGCATATCCATTTTTAAATGCTGGTCAAAATGCAACCAAATAAGTTAGAGCATTATTTTTTTTGCATATAAAACTCCAGGAGTTGTGCTTACATATCGTGCCTTCAGCATGTCCCAGACCGCTGTTTCCTTCTGCTAATGTCAATCACATGAAAAGCATGTGCAACAACAAAAACATTATAATGCAGATGCGGGTGTTTTATCAATATGATCAGCTGTTCACAGCGCTTCCTGTGTCGCAATATATATCACCACGTTTTCATCATAAACTGTTAAATGTTTTCATGAGCGCCACTAACTGTGAAAACAAAAACAAAAAGATGTAATTCCTCCCCCCCTTTTTTCCCTCTCCAAGGCTTATCACAGCTTCACTTGTGTTATTAAAAAGTCATGTTTGACTTTTGTGCCTTAGAAGTTTGAATGCACTTTTGGAAATGGTCTATGTTGATGTGCATGCATACTTTTTGCATATTGGCCACAATATACATTTATTTTCGTTTTTGCTGCAGGTTATAGCAAGAGTACGGTACCTCAAAAATGAAGTTATGAATGAGAGAATAATGTGTTTAAAAAGACATTTTAAGATTTTTGTTGGTCTGTTGCACTTTTAAGCAAGTTATTTAGTCACTCTGGACTTATTGCAAACATATGATTAAAATTTGGGATATAGCGGTTATATTTATGTATAGCAAGTTGAATGTGTTGCAAAAAAATGGCACTAAAGTCAAAGTTAGCTTTATCTTCAAAAACCATATGTACAGATTATATACAGGAATTTTAAATTGCAGCGCTCCCACGGCCCTCAGTGTTACACTAAACAAACATAAACATTTTATATACACAACAGAGTCCAACACAATCCACTTGTTTGAAGTCAAGAGTTCATGTGCATAAGTCAACTGCACATTTCTATGTGAAGCTTGCATGTTCCCTCTGTGCTTATGTGGCCTTCTTGCCCACATGGCTGCCTTGCCACAGTCCAAAAACAGCCATGCTAGCATAAATAGTAGTTATAAATTGGCTGTAAGTGTAAATGTGAAGAGTTGTCTGGGTGTGTGTTACAGTTGAATCCTTGTAGAGTCTGTGATGTAACGTACACATGTGGCCGAGGCTGTTACCAGCATTCATACCTGCGGGTGTTAACCGCCTTGTAATTAATTCAATTCAATTCAATTTTATTTATATAGCGCCAAATCACAACAAAAGTCGCCTCAAGGCGCTTCATAGATACAGAGAAAAACCCAACAATCATATGACCCCCTATGAGCAAGCACTTTGGTGACAGTGGGAAGGAAAAACTCCCTTTTAACAGGAAGAAACCTCTGGCAGAACCAGGCTCAGGGAGGGGCGGCCATCTGCTGCGACCGGTTGGGGTGAGAGAAGGAAGACAGGATAAAATTATGTCCAGGTGTCTTATATGCGATGGCAGCCTTAATAGAAACAAATCTATAAAGTCATTATAAATAATGCTGTGATTATTAGTCTCTATACTGAGGTGGTGATGGTTCTCTCACTGATAAACTGAAGAACTGCAGAGAAAATGTAGCCAGAAATGCACAGGAGGGATCGAAAGTACAGAAAAGGCCGATTACACTGGTTGCTCCATCGATGTGACGTGTAGTTACATTTCCAGAGAGGTGCATGTCATGTCGGGTTATGCCATAGTGTAGAGTTTCAGAGGTGTTTGTGGTTATGACATACCTACAGTGATGTTTCAATGCAGAAGTCAAAATCAACTATTAGCCCAGTGATAAATTGGCAACCTGTCCGAGGCGTCCTCCCCCTCCACCACCCTTAATGGATGGTCTCATTTGGGTCAAACATGATCAGGAAATGTCATTTATTTATTTATTTATTTTGGATCGGTGCTTCTTTAAGTTCTCTCTAAACCGTAGATGATCTGGTAGCCCTTATTTCAAGACCAGATCCAGCTTGTAAAACAAACAAACAAACAAATAAAAAAAACATGACCAAAGAGTAAAACTTTCTTTTGACAATGACTCACAATATTTTATTTTTTAACTAACTCGCAGTTTCTCCCTTAAAGCATAAATATTACATTACTAAATGAAAATAAGGAAATGTTTGCCTTGACTGACTAGATTAAACACATTACCCAGCCCTACTCTTAGCTGTGATGTTTGTGTGGTTCTAAATGGTAATGGGATTTGTATGTGTTTAGGTTGAAGGGAGGAACTCCATCATTGAGACGTTCAGGGAGCTGATCAAAGAGGAGGGCTTCTGGGGATTGACCAAAGGACTGTCTGCACGCATCATTTCATCCACACCCACCGCCATCGTCATGGTGGTTGGCTATGAGACACTAAAGAAACTGAGTTTGCGACCAGAGCTGGTGGATTCAAGACACTGGTAGAAGATATCTGGAGAGACAATAAAAGGACCAGTTTATTGTGCCATTTGTAGCCGTCAACCCTAATTTAGACTTTGTGTGTAAGTACTGAGTGAAAAAGGGTTTGCTTTAATTGCATATAACAGCCCTGGGGTCAAAATGGAGTAATTTAAATTCACACTATGAATTCTAATCTTCAAACTTCAAACCAACTTAACATGAATTACCTGGCTATTAAGAATATTAACCAGGTTTACAGTTTTTATGTGTTGCCGATTAACAGAACCTGCTGCCGTTTGGTACGAATTAAAGGGGTGATGCCATTTTGTTTCAGTAATGGTGAGGGCATGGAAGATAATGCAGCCTAATGGGACTTACTTTATATATTTACTTTATATATTTGATCCTCATATGTGTTGGCATTTTGATGATTGAAAGTCTTGTTTGAGGACCTTTGCTGTGGAGAGTTGATTGCTGACAGTTATTCTGTTTGATCATTTGTGAGAGTAACCAGATGGTTACTGTAGTAACCTGTGTTTGTGCTCTTCTAAAAAAAAAAGCCAAGAAGTGTTTTGATGATGGTTTGCATAAAGTTCATTTAACTGGCGATGACACATTCACACCAGCAGTAAATAAATCTTTCCCAAGTGTTTGTGTCCTTATGTTCACCAGACTGGCTTTTATCTCCATTTGAAGTTCCTTTTTCTTGGCCTTTTTTTTTTTTTTTTTTTTAAACCTGCCTTTTTAATGCTTTTTAAAGCTGTGTGCATCAGCCAGGTTGCATTCAAACATTTCACTTTAGAATCAATGTGACAGATTTTTATTTTGATTTAAAGTCATCATGCAATTGACACGATCCAAAACATGGTGCATATACCGTATAATGTTTTATTTACACTTTTTACTGACTTTACTGAGGGGTTTTATTAGCAGTGTTGAAAATATCACTGTGATCAAGCTGGTTAGTAAAAGGCTCATTTAGTGTTTTGTTATCTAACTGGAAGGCGACTACAAGTGAAATCTTTCCATTATGCTCGGGCTGTGACTCTAACCTGGTTGTGAACTAACTGCTGTTTCGCTATTGTGACAGTATATGTGCAATAATGTGAATGCTTTGTCCATTTCAGCACAATGTATTTGTATGTTTCCTCTAAACTGTGTGAATTTTAAAAAGACCTAAATTATTATTATTATTTTTTCAGATTTATTTTCTTTTGGGGAATATGGTGACTAAAATTTGCTTAAGAGGAGTAACTTTGGGCTCACATAGATGTTTTTAGTTGCACTTTATGGAAGGTAGTCTATTACAAAACAAAACATTTATTTTAAATAATCTAAAATGGTCAGATTGTAGAAAGGATTCTAAGACAGGAGAAGGTAACGCGTCTAAACGTTTAGGTGGAGCCATAACTGTCCATGTGTTAAGTTGCGCGTATGTCTGCTGTGTTGGAATAACTCACGGGATCCCAGTTGGACTTTGGAATGAACTAAGACTAAGACTTCATATGGATGAGCTGGGAATTAATGCAAAATGTTTTTTTAAGATTAATACTTTTTTCCCCATTTTTATTTCTGCAGCCTCGAGTGACTAATGAAAGTGATATATTTTTGTCTTTTACTGTAAATCTAAACCTGATTATGTCACGCAGAATACACCTGGGTTCATATCATGTGTCAGTGTGTCTTCAGGTATTTGTTCAATAAAACATAAGAGCTATAAAAACTATAAAAAGGAGTCTGTCAGTTATTATAGTTATAGTTGTTTCTACTTGAATCTTTGACTTTGCTTTTAATCCAGTAGTTTCCATATTAGGTTTTCTTGTTTCCATTCAGTTTTTATTTATTTCCAGTTTAATTTTTGATTAGTTTCAGTGTTGGCTTTAGTGTTGTTATTGTTTTTATCTTAGTTATTCAAGGAAATAATCTCACTGAGATTAAAATCTTTCTAATTATTATTGTATTGAGGGTGCATCTCAAAAGTATGTCAATATTGTGCATTCCTGTGTACGGTCCTCGGGTAGTTCAATGTGCAGATAAGAGGGTCTGATGGGACAATGTGTTTCCTTGATGTTCACCTAACCGTAGGGCATCCATAGATCTTATCCAAGGTGACGCTCTGGCACCAAAGGTCATATCTCATTATGTTAGTTAGATAATGAGATGAAAGGATCTACTTTACAAAGTCCACTGGGTTTAAATGGTGTTATTCCCAATAGAATAGCTTTGCAAATATTTTAGTGTGAAGACTGGAATCCTTGTTATCATAATAATAAAAGTGTTAGTGTACAGTCACACATTTTCAGTTCTTCAGAAAGGTCGCTGGAGACCTACACGAGTGAAAAACTCTTTAAAATCAGATTAAACAGATTGCAGCACCAACGCAACTGACACGAACGTTAAAAAGCTAAATTGGCATGAGCTGGACAACAGATGGCAAAAGGCAATGCTCTTACAGCGTACACTCTTCGCTCTGAGCCTGTCACACATCCTCCAACTGTCTCTCTATGCCAAACAAAACGTTCACTTTCCCTTTTGAAAATAAAGCCACCCAGAGACCAACGGACAAATCTACTGATGAATGAAACAAACAAGGAGGCCGAGTGAAGACGGCAGAGGCCTCCTTTCAGCTGACACTTCCTGGTGGGATGACAGAGTGCTCCCTGTTCTGAGCTATACATTAATTATCAAGCCATGTCTGGGAGGCATTTTGTCAAAAAGATTGATGAGGGGCCGTCAGACGGAGAACAAATCTGACTTGGCCAGGGTTAAAGGGAGGGCCCCTCATTCTCATGGGATGTAATGGTGGTAGCTGTGTGAGGGTGTGTGGTGCACTGAAAGCATCCACATGAGCGTGGTATCGAAAAGACGATTACACAAGAAAGTTGTTTGATATGTGAAAAGAGGGCAAATAGTGACCACAAAGGAGTTTTATTACATAAGTCTATGTCTCATCTTCAGCGAAAGTGATGAGATGATGATGTGTTCATTGTGTGTCTGGATGGAAATTTCATCTTTAGAAGACTGCTGTAATTTTTTCTCCTTTCCACCTTATACTGTAAAGTGATTCCTTTGCAGTCTAACAAAATAAAAGGGAGACATGAGATGGGGGTCCTAATTCAATCAGTCCTCATTTCAAGCAAAAATAAAGGTCATGCAACAGATTGTGACACACTGCTTCTGCAAGGGAACTCCACGTAGGTGTTAAAATTTGGGAAACAGTGTCTTCATATGGACAGCTTTTATTGTCTTGTAACAAATCCAGAAAAGAACTTATAACGCACCACGTTCACCTCCGTAGAGGTGGAAACCCCTCCAACTACTCAAAAACTAACCAAAAACATGATTTCTGCTACTTCAAACACATCCTTTAAACTTGGATTTGCTATTCAGTACATGATAGCGCTCTTTGTTTAATCAGCTCTGAGAAATTTAGCGAAAAAGATTAGAATTCATTTCCACTGTGGATGAGATGAGACCTGAAAACCTTGAAACTAAACAGCAGTTTGAGGTCATGAAAAGAATTCTCTAATCAGAACAAACCATCAGAGATATGTGTGTGTGTAGGTGTATAAATGTGTCTGTTGAGGGGGAGAGGAGGCAGAGGTCGAGGGGGTTTGGTCTGCCATGAGGGATCATTACACATAGGGAGGAGAAAGGGAGGGAGCACAGGGACAGACGGAGAGAAGCGGAGAGAGAAAGCCTGAAGAAAGGCAGCAGAGGAGACAGAAGAAAGGAGGCGTTCGGCTGACACACAATCAAAACCGCACAAAATGCAGAATTTCACAGGCACCTGGAAAATGAAAAGCAGCGAGAACTTCGACGAGCTTCTCAAAGCTTTGGGTGAGGACAAATGACTCTTTCTTACCTTAAGGTGTGAGTTTATTCAAAGGTTTTTTTCAAACATAACTGAAAATGCAGTATTCTAGTTAGTGGGTTATTATCTTTTATTACCCCAATTAAATTGAAATGCATTACTTTGAAATAAAGGCAAGTTCAGTGAAATTGTGGTTTATAAATGTAAAAAAAAACAAAAAGCTACAACAAAAGGCTGTTTAAATTGATAAAAATATAAGTCATTTGCTAATCCACATATGCCTAATTTTAGTTTGGTACTTTGCTGCTTATTTTTTTAATAGGAAAATTTAGTGACAGGAGACAAATTTAACACTGGAACAAACACCGCACTTAAGCTCTAGTGGTGCGCTTGAGTGGAAACAGACTGAAGTATTCTGTCATCTGACTGTTTGCACTTCAACAGATCTGGTTAATGGTTTTTCCACTAATTTGAAAGACAGAATCTATCACGTATTGCAGGACAGCTAAACAAATCAAATAAGCATTCCTCCGTGTCATCACATTGGCACTGCACTCTCAAAATTGACAACATCTGGTGATAAAAATCTCAGTTGTACACGCTGAACGCTCCGATTGTTAAATAATTAAACCATCAAGTTTAGACTCTAACATCTTCTCCCAACAGCTAACAGGTGATGACTTTTCGTTTGACTGAGATAGATGGGACAGGCATCTTCTACCTTTACTTTGAAACATGAGCTCAGATATTTTTCTTACCATCTTTTTGGTGTAAAGATGGTAAGAAAAAAAATGTAAGGTGACAAGTCAACACCAGACAATAGAATATAGAGAAAGCAGCAAGAAGTAGATATCTAAAATGTATTCATTTAGTCCTCTACAGGCTCATTAACACACTTTAATGTATGTATATATCAGTGGGGTGACTTCTAAACAAAGGCAAGCACGGACAATAAAGCAGATATGCAAGGACAGAGATTACTTTCACTTTGCTTTAATAGATGCTCTTCTTATGGAACACCACTGTTATGTGCTGCAGTTGTTCAGAGAGTGTAACCATGTTTTTATAGGTACAATCATACTACAGTTATGTTTTCTTTTTTGAAAAGAGGACAGCTGCGAACAAAACAAAAAAAATAAAAATAAAACCACTTGGTACCAAATAGAGTTTTAGACCGTCAGTGTCATGAGGGATTCTGTCAAAGATGGACCTTTCTGCCTGGTTCTCTTTCTTAAGGCCTGTTTTAGAGTTAAAACCTAGTTTTTCAGGTTAAAAAGAACACTAGGTTAGAACTATGTAGGTGGTTGCATTTAGATTTAATAGTTAAATGTAGAGGATGGAAGACCTGAAAAAGTTATATTGAAAATCAGGTTTTACAAATTACTGGACAACAAAAGCATAAAAAAACAAACAAATTGGCAAATAAGATGAATCTCAAACACAGAGAGAAAACATAGAGCACGCAACGAAAACCTGACAGAGGCTACAGCAAAAACACACTAAAGTAAACACACAAAATGAGGGAAAAGTAATAAGAGATGGTGAACTTAGACACGAACAATGGTGGGAAAAGAGCAGAGGAGGAAAATAAGAAACACAGAAAACCACTGGAGGATCTAAACTACAAAACAAAAAGAAAGAAAAGACCTGGACCAAACTCACACAGGCAATGATAACCAGGCAAAAGGAAGCACAGAAGGTACTTAAAAAATAAACAATTGAGAATTACAACTAAAGATTAAAATAAAAAAATAATTAAAGAAGCAACATTCAAAAACACAAACGAATAAATAACAGAACCATGAATTATACAAAGACCATGGCACTGATTGGCAGTTTCTTCA